CTGAAAACAGGATGTATGAATGTCTCACCTGTGTTAAAGATACATGGATTTTGTGTTGTTTTTCTGTCTGCAATGTTTTCCTCAGAGTTCAGTGAAGTTCAGTCTGGCATTCAACATGGGTAAACCTTCCCTGTGTTTCATGAAAACAATATTTCAGAATTTTGAAGGCATATTTAACCTCTGGCCAGGATTTCAGCTGCATTCACCTGCAACAGCAACACCGGCTTGTCTCTGATTAATGAGTTTCACGCGGCATTTTGAGCCGCTCTCGTCAGAAGTCCAACATTAGGATCATTTGGGCGACCCCCACTGCCCCTGTTTTACATATGAATAAGAGGCTTATCATTTGTGGCATTGCAGGCTGGGAGTGAGCAGAGGCAGGTGAGTGAGCAGGGGCAGCATGGCACTGCCCAGCAGTGTGGTTATTTTTTTAATTCAGCATCCGTTGGACATTGATGCCAAGGTTGAAGCCCTGCTTAAAAACACTTGGGGCCTCCTGAAACAAGTTCTGAGCTTTTTGCTAAAAGCCAAAAACTTACCTAAAGCATGAATAATGGATGAAAGTTGGGGTTCTAAAACACAACACAAGTGTGCACAAGGTTTAATTGTGCAGAACTAGTCGGCCTCTGTGATGGATGCACTGACAGGTGGGCTTAGTGACTCAAGCTTAAAAAGAGAACACACACAGAAACTTGGACTGACATGCAATTCTTTTGCTACAGAGGCCATTAAATCAGCTGAGAATAATGTTAATTAAGCAAACTTTCAAAGCCCCGCCTTTTTAGTGCACAAATGTACAATTATGCTCGAAATGTTTGTTTGCAGTTGCAGAAGTTTTGGAGGCACTCAGATGAACTCTCAAAGGCAGGATGGAACAGATTTCAGATTTTGAGAAAAATTCTTTGATCTGTGTTTTGTTGACTGAGAAAACAAAAAATGAAAACCTTATATAACAAACAGCACCTGCCTGCGTGAATGATACCCAAACTTCCAACCAAAGGTAATAAAAGTTAACAGGTAAATAGCACATTAACCCAAATTCCATCAAACACCACTCTTTTTTTAATGTGCTGTTTGCACACACACATATGATCCTCAGACCATGTGACAATTGAAGTCTAGTAGATGTGATTTAACTGCACTAACAACTAGCAACACAGCATGGGGGCTCATTTCTGTTTTGTTTTTACAAGACTCCATGTTGTTATGCTCTCACCGAAAAGGACAACTCTCATCAGTGCTGAGTTTGTGCAGGTTATGCTTTAATCTTTATGCTTTATGATTAGTGGAAAGCGCTGTGGAGACTTAGTGTTGCGCAGCTGACGTTAAGCTCTGCAGAATAAGCTCAGGTGCAGAAATCCCCACCCTGTTGTCTGTATCTCGCTGGTGCTAACCTGCTGTCCCAGAGCTTCTGCTAAAAGCTAAATGTTAGCGATCCAGCAGGTGTGGATGGCGAGCAGAAACCTGCTTAAGCAGAAAATGATAAAAGAAACAGGTCTTTTAAATGGCTTGCTCAGCTTCAAAGCCCTGCCAGATGGTTCACTCCACGAGACCAAAGTTATTTGCATTCACTGTTGATGTGAACTGAGTTACCACTCCATTACATCTCAAATACTACTTCCTGGCCAAGCACACAGCTGATACAGAGAACCCTCTTACCATAGACTGTATATAGAGTGGACGCTGTCTGCCTCCTCGCTGGGTGAGGCCATTCTGAGAACAGCACCCTCTGGTGACGTGCTGCAGTAAAGGTCATAAACCCGCCTCCTGCAACCATCCTTATGAAGCTGTGGACAAACTTAAGAAATTTATTAAACAGAATATAAATGTTTCTCCGCCTTGCTTGCGATGTTGACATGTAGTTACTGTAAGACTGTTTTGTGCTCAAGTCCTTTTTTTTCTGTACAGCTCCGTTTTTAAAAGTTATTAGGGGGTTCATGTTTTCTATGATTGACACTTGATACAGCCCATGGGGATACGAAGACTGGGTAGCTCACCTGGGGGATATGCTGTTTGAGCTAAATGTCATCACAGCGACTCTCCTGCCAAATGCGCACAATGCTACCGCACAAGTGGTGAGGTGCATACAACTCTACTGTGCAATGTTGGTTTCAGGAAATGGAGAAAAGAAATACTGAGAGCTTTTTGGCTTCAAATCCATATACTGGCAGAAGACGGAATCAAGTTGTCCATAGTATACACAGTCTATGCCTCTTTCCCCTCCTCAAAGCTGTCAAGGCATCACTATTGCAAACTATCCCTTGACTTGTCTTGCACTTTACTTTGTCATCAGGGAGCCATTTAGTTTAAGCACTATTTTCAGATGCCAAAAGTAAGTGTTCTTCTGCTTGCCAAACACTGATCTATACAAGTTAAACTACAAATTAAATTTTGATATTAATTTGAGGTTGTTCTAAGCAAATGGTAAACATCATTTGGCAGACCTCGAAATGACTGTAAAGTTTTATGCCATTAATCCCCCCTTAACAGCGAACAGTGTACTCTAATAACGTTAACATTTCATACAGATCGTGGGATGTGTCTTCATTTCCAAAAAGAACAATGAGAGCCCAGAGTTTTACTTTTGAGATACACTTCCATGGCTATTTCTGGTTTTCTGATTCCACTTCTGAAAACTAAAGAAAGTCACTTAAAAGAGCATTCAGTTCAGCGGGGAACTCTTTTCCACCAAGCAGTAAATTTTGGTAATCCTAATCTTGCTTGCATTTTCACAACCAACTGTACCGTAGTGCATGTTGGCAGCCGTTCATACTTCTGGAATGCTTTAAAAGCTAAGACCCAATCTGTTACGAACTTGCATAGCTTTTTACTCAAACCTACTGTAAGTTTTAGTTTGGAAAAAGATTGCCTTGAATAATGATGGCTGCAGGTAAGCAATGTTAATTATAAACTTAGGTGAAGTGGGAAAAATTCTCTATTGTGCAACTTTACTCTCCAAAGATAGATAGATAGATAGATAGATAGATAGATAGATAGATAGATAGATAGATAGATAAGAACAGATGCAACTAAGCAACTGATGTAACTAAGCAACTGTTGCTATGATGGAGTTTGTGTTTTACACCTTTTCGCCATTCATAAACACACTTCATTTATTATGAATAGCCTATTTTTACTGCCAGCATAGCAGGAATAAGAAATTACCCAATTCAACTATGCAGAGACTTCAGAAAACAAGCAGGTTTCTAATATATACAGGATAAACAGAGCAGACTCATCAATAAGCAACAGAAAAATTAAGAAATCATGAAATGCGAGGACATACATGTGTCTTTGCCAATGGAAGGCCTTGAATATTGAACACTAACACCTCTAGGTTCCCCCTGTGACATATGGGCATTTGTGTTGTTGTAAGACATGCAAACCCACTATTATAGCTCAAGTATTATCTAGTTGCACCTGAATTCCCTGCAGCCCATCCGCATGCATAATAAATCCAGGAAATGTCAGCTGTGAGGCCTGAGGGAGAGCTGTGCCATTTGTTTAAGCTCCGGCTTGCAATACAGCCCGGTGCCATCGATGTTTGGATAGAAGTGAATGAATAAAGAATGCCGTCACTTGCATGTCAATCAGGGGTTTACGGAACCCTGAACATGGCCAGCCCTAAGCCAGCATGTGTTTGCGATGCACAATAAGCTCCTAAAACAATAACCCAGACGGATGTTGGATATTTTGGATCAATGCTTCTCTCGTCTTCTCAGCCTTTGCACAAATGCTAACAAAAATGATTAGCAAATTTATCAACGGGAACGATGAATCAGATAAAACCACACTGCAACAGGTAAAGATGTCTACTTAAATAATAATAAAAGTCCCTTTTATGTTATTGTTGATGTATCCAGACTGGCACATCTAAACCACAACAGACACTATTCTGTTGTTTTAATAGTTTTTCTGTAGAGCATCCCACAGCATATTGAAATAGTAGCTCGAAGCTTTTCCTCTCTGTCCGACTGACTGACTGTGGGTTTTTGGTTGCTGACTCCTGGAGGCCCAGAAGTTTCCACTGGCTTGTTTTTCATTCCCACAATCCCTTTTCCTGCTAGCCAAATCACTGAGCTATGACTACAGGCCTGGTTGGAAGTCCTTATCTGCTATCATTAAAGATGCATTTATTCCATTGCCTCAGGTACTTGTGGGTGTTTGTGTGCGTGTGCATGTGTGTGTGCTTTCAGATGCTTTTTTGTACTTGTTTGCATGTGTGTGTGCACGCTTGATCTATATGTGAGAAAAAAAAAAGAAAGAGCGAAACAGAGGAAGGGGGTATAAATGTTTGTGTGTGTATGTGTGGGTGGCTTCAGGGGGGTCCTGTGTGTGGAAGTGGATAAGGCTTTGTTGGTTTCTGTGCATCTGCCTGTGATGTGTGTGTGTATTCTCCAAGGTTAACACACTCCTCCTACACTAGGCTGATCTAAATAGAGACAGAGCCAGGGTAAATGGGGATCAGAAGTCAAGCGCTGGCAACCATGCTAAATTATCGGCGGAAATCAACGCTGTCCTCATTAATTACACAAAAGGCCGTTAGTCATTTCCACCTCCCTCCCCCCCAACCCGCCTACCCTCCTAACGCCTCTCAAACTAACTGATGCTTCTCCAGTGATTTTGCTCACTTTTGCACTCACCGAAGGCGTGCCCACAAATTCCAGCATATTTAAGACACCAGCACAGACGCGCACGCAAGGAAAAACAGAACAAGGGCGTAGATGAAAGGAGAATCTGTCTTTGCAGCTGACATTGGAGGACAGCAACCAAAAGATAATGTAGTCTGTGAGTCACGCTCACCTTGAGTTCTCTCCCCCCTTTCATTACAGCTTTCGTCTTCAACTAAAGGTAGCGGTATTGTTGTTATCTTCCCAACAATCACTTCAATAATTTATGGCAATGAAACTAAGAGAGGTGTGCTCTGCATATTGTTGTTGATAGGAGGCAGAGTGTCTTCCTTCAAGACAATGAGGAGCCCTGACAGAATATTGAAGTAGCTGTCCTTCTACCTTTCAGAGATGAAAAAGTCACTGTGTTTGTGAGAAAATAAGTCAACCCTACCACACAGTAGCTTAATATAAAGGCCAATATGCCTCTTATATTAAAGTTCAGGGAAAAAATATCGTAAATTCACTCCGATTTCATTTGAATGAGGCAAACAAAGCCTTTTATTTGCTGTCAGTGATTCATCTAGAAAGTTTTTCAGAGAATAAGACGTCAACAAATGTTAACGTATTGATTAGTATGAAGCACAACAGGTGTGTGGTGTTGTTAGGGGTGTCATTTTCTTCATTTACAAATGGTTTATATGAAGATTGATACCATTTTCATGTCTGTGTGTTGGGAGGTAGCTGGAATATTGTAGTTTAGCTTAACTTCACTGTTTATGTCGCGTGCTACACGGGGGTGGGGGGGCACACTATGCTTCAACTTGGCACAGACACAAATTTACAACAGCTTTAAGTTTTTGTTATCCTTGCTCTCAGCAACTTTCGGACAAATACGGTGCATTCAGGAGCATCAGAATTTTCTATACTACTGAAAATAACAGGGTTTACAATAGCTTACGTGTGTCGGATTTGTGTGTGGTGGAGACAAAACAACCCCTGACAAAAAGTGAGGGGGGCACATCCCCCTGTTCCCCCCCTAAACTGACACCTATGAGACTGTTTACCGACTGGATGTAGGGTCAGTGGCATCCACCATTTGAATCCGAAGCAGAGTTTTTAAGCTTATCGACGGCGGTTGTCATATTGATAATGTTGACTCCACATAACTTGGTACTTGGTCCCACCAGAGGTGGACTTTCAGCTGCAGTCCCTCTTACAAAATTGTAATGACTATATGAACAAGTTTACTTTCCACCTATGACACAAAGTGGTCCGCTACACTCCACAAGGTTCAATAATCTACATAGAAACATAAAAAAAAATCTCACTGATTGAGTTAACATACACATTTGTGCAGTCAAAGAACAAAGATTACAAGTTTATGAAGATAGTGTTTTGTGAGATCTTGAAATCTTGCTTTAAAACAAAACTTTCCCCTTTTAAAATTTCCTGTTTTAATTGAAAGACACAACCCGTTTGTTCAGTTGTTCATTTAGCGGTAAGAATGTTGATTGAAAGTAATTTTTTAAATATTAGAGCTAGACTAGCCATCCCTCCTGGTCTTGGCTTTGATGCTAAGCTCATTTGACACACTTACACACTCACACAAACACACAGAAGAGCTGTAGCAGTAATTCAGTCTTATTATCTCCAAGATATGACGAAATATTATCCCTAACTTTTGAAATTTTGGTTAAATAAACACTAATAGAGGGGGTATTTACATTTTTAAAGACTCTAAATGTCCTTTCTGATACCTCTTAAATAGATATATGATTTTAAGATTTAAAAAAAAAGACCTCAAATTTCTCACAGTGGTGTATTAAAATATCATTTTAGTTGCTGTCCCTTTTTTCCTGATCAATAGACATCTGTAGTAAGATGCTGCAGATGTTTTTTCAGTCTGTGGTGTCTACAGTGTTTTGTTCTATGCTGCAGTCTGCTGGAGAGGAAGTTTCAAACACAAGGATGCAAGACGTCTGAACAAGCTGGTGAAAAAAGCTGTTCTGTGGTTGGTATGAAGTTGGACTCACTAGAGGATGTGGTGGAGAGATCTACACTGAGGAAGGTGGAGGCTATTCTAAAGACACCTTAATGGACCAAAGGGCCAACCGTGGTGGACGGCTCCTCTCTCTTCGCTGCAGGACAGAAAGGTCCAGAAGATCTTTTGTACCCACAGCCATCAGACTTTGTGATTCTCCTGTAGATAGTAGATGACTATTTGAGACATGACAAAAAAGACTACATACAATTAAATTTGCTTTAAATTTGCCTGCTTTCTTCTGATTGGTCACCTCTCTTGAGGCTTTCTGGAGTCTAGAGGCCAGAGTTCATGTTTTGGGCCAGCCTTCTCTATTGTGGTCATGTTAAGCAATAGAGTAGTGATAGGGAGCAGCATTGCCCTGCTTGCAGTCACAGGTTGTCACCTCACAGGCTGATGGGGCAGACCGCTCAGCTGTGCCAGAAGCACGGATGAACCAGTTAGGAAAGCCTGTCGCAATGACCTCATTGCATCAACTTTTTTGAGCAGTTTACTTTTGTTTTCTAGCATTATGACAACACATGTTTGCCACGAGATTTGAAAATTCACTTATGGTTTAGTGTGGATACCAAAAGCTGTAACTTTGTATTTTTTGTTGTAAGTATAGAAAAGCATAATAACCCCTCTAGGTGGCCTAAATGCAGATTTTTTACTTGGGCCATTAAGAAGACATAATTACATTTGATGGTTTGTCAATTATAATACAAAAACTAACTTTTTCCTTTACACCACTTTATATTTTGGGAAAATCTGAAGAACTATCAGTCTTTATGTGCAGTCTTTTCATGTTAAACTTGAAACCATGAAGCAAAGACACAGAAAAGGCAGCTTGTGCCTAAAAATAATTCATGCATGCTGATTTCCTTATTCGAAGGAGTTAGTTGGGGTCTTAAAGAAAGCCATTCATTATTTCCCAGCTGAGGTGGATTACCCGTCGACGGGTGCTGTTTGACATTTACCGTATGCATTTCATTATTGGAACTGACCTGGAAATTAACGGCAGCTTCTGTGAGCCGCAGCTCCAACCTCCCCTCCCTGTATGCAACTCGCCAAAGCATTGACCCTCTCCTCGTCTCCCTCCTGACCTTTCAGTACTGCATTATTTAACGCACACAAATCCCACACAGACCGCCGCTGAATGCTTGGAAAAGGTATTGACAGAGACATATGGCTGCTGCTGGATAACATGCATAATTGAGGGGTAGGAAAACAGGTTATATCCCTGGTTGAGGTGTGAGTCCAAGACACCGACCTTGGTCCTCTGTGCCTACTGCTGTTTGAACACCTAATGCTAATTATTCAATCATGCTGAACCACACACCATAAACCCCTGTACCGTGGCCATATTTCATCCATGAGAAGCTCAGCCAGAGTAAGCCAACACAGCTGAGTAGTTTAAGAGAGTTTTGTTGTGGATGATCAGAGGTTTTCTGGTGTAGTAAACTCATCATGTTACACGTATAAACGAACATGTTTTTACTGTCCAACAGGATGATCTGCAAAGCTTTTTCTAACACATATAGTAAATGTAAATTGAAGCTTGATGCCAGAAAGCTGTGCTGATTTGCAAAATCAACAAAACTAGACATAATAATCAGCAAATATGCTGTAAACCAGGAAGCCTATAGCAGTTTAAAGTATTCATTAAATGTTAATTTATACAAAATTTCCCATTTGATATGCATATATTTCACACTTGCCTAAAACTCCCAGTGTCTCATGACAGATAGAATCAACATATTAAGTCTGAGGGAAGAAAAACACCTCCTTTTAGTGTCTCTCAGTTTGTATTTAAGCTCTCTGTATTTAAACCAATAAATAAAATACCTGTTATGGTTGTCTCTGGGGCTCTGTCCCCAACCAGAGGACAACTTCCTCTAAGTGGCAGCACTTTGATGACTATCTGAAAAGTGTCACAGGGGGTCCAAAAAAGCAATTTAATAATTAACAAGAGTTTACAAGAAAACCAAAGAAAATAAATGATAGCATGGTGGAGGAGGACAATGAGTCGACATTAACAATCAGGTCTGCCAGTGAATAACGAGCTCGCCCCCAACATTTTAATTAGCAGCCCGCCGGACGGCACAGTGATTAATGAACACTATTTGATTTCAGCGTTGCTCTGAATTAATAACAAATTGACATTTAATGAAAATTACTTACTGCAATTGGAATTAAAGCTTTTTGGCCCCTTTCAGCACCAGAGAATAATAATAAATACAAATGTAGTTATCCACAGCTGATCATAAACATGTGTTTAAAAGAGATATCAAAGGTGATGGGATTGAATTATGGGGGGATTTAGCAAACAGCATTAACAGCGCCAATTATCTTCTCATAGCCTCAGGAGTGGGCAGAAGGAAGACAAATTTCTCTCTGCAGTTAGTGTACATCTTCCATCATGCTGTGCCTCGATCAGAAAAGGTGTTCAGGTGTGGCAGAGGAAGCTAAATGGTTAAGAGCACACCGTGCTCTTAAAGTCCCACTCCAATCTTTTTTTTTTTAACTATTTTGTACCTAAAGTGTTCTCAGTGGATGTTTTTACCAAAAATCGCATTATCTGTGTCGTTTTCAAGGACTTTTCTTCTGCAGAGCTTCAGTAGCTCATTAGCACTTAGCCTCTGAGTTGTGGGCGGAGACAGTGCTGCTCTGCACACTTGTCTTCACGTTAGCTTGTAGCCTAACATTGCCTGTGCAGCAGAAGTGGCAGGTAACATAGGAGCTATTCAGCTCTTGGACACGAATATCTCTAGGGACACAGTGAAAGTTAATATCATAAGTAGCTTTCTTATAAGCAATGTGATCCACTAATGCACACGCTTGTTCCACAATGGTCCTCTGTATTTCTCCTCTATATGCAGAGTGTGGCCTGCATAGCAGGGCTACGGGGGCGGGGCTTGGATTGGTTACGTATGAAATCTCACTGTTTCTGAACCTGCTGTTTGGGTCTGCCAGAGATTCACAGCGATTTGAATGAAGAAATACTCAGAAAAGTAATTTTGCATTTAGTTTTCTCATGATATGTCCGGTAGCATCAGAAAAATTACATTTGAACATGTGAAAAAAAAAACAAGAAAACGTGATTTTCATCGGAGTGGGTTCTTAAAGACTGTGCTAATGTATGAAAACCGGGTCAATATAATTCAAAGAATCAAATGATAGTCCAATAATGATTATTCAATAATTTAAAAATATGATAATAATTTAAAGAAAAAGACAACTCAAAAATGCAAATGCATTCAGGTTGTATACAGCCAGAAAAACTGTCAATGTACAGAGACAAGAAGAATCTTCATCAGCATCACCATAGCAGCAAAGATTGCGGGTTATACAGTTAAGTCTTATCAAACAATGTCAAAAAAAAGCTTCCACACTTGTAGAAAGTAGTTTAGTGAGTCACATCTGCTAAAGTGAAAATTTTCCCTCTTTGCAGTAGAGAGAGTTTCATTTAGACACCTGCTGAAACATAAGGACACTGGAGACTTTAAGTTCAGTAATATTAATTTTTCAACCATGCCTGTTTTGAGAGCCTGTTTCTGATGGGGAGGAAGGCTTCTTGTCCTGTCAGAGCAGCCAAACATTGCCAGAATAAATGTGATAGTGATCCCTTTGCAGAACCACTTCTAAAACACCTACCCTGCATTCACCGTATTACTCTGTAGTGTGAGCTCTACACCTGCCAGCCCCATACTAGAGATCAAACTCTTCACTTGTCTTGGTTGGGTGTTTGCGGCACAGCATCCACCAGGTAAGTCTGTACCCTGAAGCACGGTGGCCACCTGTTGGCACTTCAGCCCATGATGCCTTCAACACAGACACACTAGCCTGAGGTTCTTTTTACCCTGCTTGCCCCCTCCAACCCATCCCACCATGCTGCATTTTATAACTGAATGCAGAACTGGCCACATACAGATGCAATCAATACTTCTGCTCCTCTGAAGATCAAAAAGGGCTTTGTGTTTGTGTATTTCAGCATGCTTGGTTTTCTGGTTGAGGAGCCCCTCTGTGATTACTGCTCCATGCAGAGTCCAAACCTCTTCATTTGTCTGTATGGATGTCTGCTTCCTGCCTGATTACTGCACCCTCAAGTTCGTGGTACTCCCAGTTTTTAAAGGAGAGAGTGGATGATTTGTGATGCATGCATCTGCTCATGTTTCCTTCGAATACGCCTCGTTTAATGGCATCAACAAACAAGCTTTTTTCTTCTATTTTTTTTGCAGTTTTCCCCACAAACTTCTATAAATCTTTGATAAACCCTCAGAACGGCTGTGTCTCAGTTTTGCTGGAGAATCACCTTCCCTTCATTCTCTTCTTTGTTTGCCTTGCTCAGATTTTTACCCCAGATGATTTATGGGAAATGCTGCTCTCTTGGATTTAGTTAGGCTCGGCTTTTGTGATACCCGTCTGCTTATAAAATTAACAGATATGTTGACTGAGACAATATAATGATGATTCATTCACCAATAATGTTTCCATCAAGGGGAGCAATATCCAGCTTGATGGTGCTGTTTAGACTGTCACAGCTGTTTAGATGTGCAGATCGGCTTTTCAAACAACTATTATTTGCTCATTTCCTTTTCACAATTAAAAGCTTTTATATTATGGTCTTTGATATTCATATCAAGATGAAGATGGATTAAATGGAAAGTCATGATAACAAGCCCCACACTTTTCTTATTACATCGTCTCAAAGTAAAAGAATAGGGTAAGATATCTGTACCTAAATTAACTGACCTGAGACCCAAAATATATAGTATGATTTCTGTTTCTATTTTCATCTTTATAACATGTCTGGACCATAACCCCCAAGTGTGTCTGAACATTACAATTATTGATTTGCACACCTAACACCATGGCCCCCCATGGTATATCCCCCAGAAGATGTTATTTAAGCTCACAATCTGCGTCGTTACAGACAATGTTTCATGAATAATAGAGAGCAATCCATCAGTCAAAGACCCCGGGAAGGGAATCATCTTACTGTCACAGCATTTAGATAAGAAATCACAGCACGCACTGCGTTTACCACTAAAATGCCCAAGACATTCATAGAGGTGTTTATCGGCCAATGATGACGGCTCACAATGAGACACCTCAAATCGCCTCGGGGAAGGAGACGTTTGGAGCAATAACAAATTAGACATTGAAATAAGACAACTCAATAGCACAGCAGACAAATTGCAGGAGCTGGGCAGTGCTCATTAATTCTAACTATGGGCTCCTCAGCTGCATTGATCATATCCTCCATTTATTGCTGTAACTATGAAAGCAGGAGTGATATGATGTAAAGATGGCATTGGTTTTCTCTCACCAGCTCACCTCAGGACACCACTGAATATTACGATTAAGTACAGTGCACGGCTTGTAGCTGTGATGTTGACCACGTGTGAACACATACACATATCTTTGCCACAAATCAGCACACTGTGAAATCACTGACAAATGCTTTACTTTTTCACATCCTTTCTAATAGAGACGGAGAGGTGTAAACAATAAGGGTGGAGCCCAGAAGACGCTCTGCCCAAACATGTCTGCTATCATCAGGTCTGAGAGGAGAGTAATGAATGCAGGCGATAGGCTGATAACAAGTAAGTGAAACACAGCACAGTCAGCCTTCACAAACTTAATATAAAGTTATGAGTATATCAAGATGTGGCTGGCGCCTGAGTCCAACAAGGGAGAAGTCAATGATCATTCAGTGCTGATGACAGCAATCAGAAAGCAAGCTCTCCCTGGCTGCTGTGGGCTTTGGGTAATGGTAGTGGAGTACATATCTAACTACCAGAGGGAACAAGAGACCTGACAAACTTTAATAACTCACAATCCACCATTAGGCTCTATAAAAACAAAGTTCTGTACCTAAACCTTATGTGCTTTGAGAAAAGCTGTTTAAAAACCCAAGAGGACCAGGCAGGAAACCAAGACACTGTGACCATAACAACCACATTTAAAGAGATGTGACATACTTTGACTATTTGTGATACAAACCAAAGAAAATAAAGAATTATTCAATACGGGGTGTCGAAAACCATGATTCAATAAATAATGCAAACATTATTATTCGCATTATTGCTCAGGGTTAAACAGTTTTATGAACAGTATCAGGCCCCGTTTATACGTATCCAGTTATTTTTTAAAACAGAGACATTAACCGATTTTTTTTCACCCTTCGTTGAGACACAAATAGAGAATTCACCCCTGAAAATGACGCTTTTTAAATGGAGATTTTGGAAAACTGTTCCCACATTTGCATGTAAACAGAGTAAAACTAAGGAGAACAGAGATTTGGGTAGCTGACGGCAGATTGTGCGCAGGAAAAACGGAAGGGATATTGTTCTTGTTGTTGCTGCTATGCGGGATTCTGATTGACTAACATGGGCTTGAGCTCCTCACTACACTGCTGCCCACATGTTTGATTTGCTCTTGATGGTATATATAGACAGGTTAGTGTAAACGAAAACTTTTTTATGAAAACATAGTGGTGTGCACGCAGTTTTTTATGTAAACAGAGAGGGTTAAATGTCCTGGAAAATAGTTGGGCATGTGTAAACATAGTTTCAGTTTAGTCTTTGCCAGTTTCATCAAAACACCAGATATACTTCATGTTGCAGAGAAGGTTTGACTAGAGGCTTGAGTTCAGAGGAGGTAAACACTCCAATCAAAGAAGACTAAAATCAATTCAGCCTACTTATGCCCTGTGTTGTCATAAAGCTATCACAGTAGCGGTTCTAAGGAAGGACGGATAGGGGCCAGTACCCCTGTAACATTAAGTTTGGACCCCCCTGTAGCCTTCACTCTAAATGAAAAGTCTTCCATTGGAATGAAATAATAGCTTGCAGCAGCCTGAAGCGCCAACCTGACAGGAGTAATTCAAAGCCCTGAGAAAGTAAATATAACTTTCAGACTTTGGTGTAGACTACCCTTACTGATGAAGATTAATCTTGTAAAAACTTATAACTTCTAAAAGAGAGAGCAGGCAAGAGGGTAAGGGAGCGCAGATGGCTAAGAGTGTGAACAACGATGCAGACTGGAGTCAATGTTAAGAGTGATGCTGTCTCATATTAACAGCTACAAAGTGTTGAGTGTTCACATTTCCACATCATCTCAACGACATGAATGCAATCCCTGAATCCTACAACCATAATGCTTTTAAGAGCATGCAAAGAGTGTTATAAGAACTGTGCCTCAATTTCCTTTCACTATGGCATTTTACATCCTTGTGTCTTTCAACATGCAGACAGCAGTCCTCCTCTACAGGAAGCTCTTCTGGAAGTTAAACATGGAGAACTAAAGCACTCAGGCATGTGCACATGTCCATGGCACAGTCAGAAAGACTCCTGGGTTGCTTGGGTTTCCGTAATGGTTCGCTTTTGTGACCCTTGCAAGAGACGTAGGATCCAGATAGAGGAAAAAGAGACAGGATGGAATTGAAGGAATGAGATAGAAGCACAAGGGTGGACCACCTCTGGGGGATTGGACTGTCAGGGAAGAGAAGACAGGGAGAAAGGTGAGCAGGGAGAAGTTAATGGCTGGTATGGTGAAGAGGAGGGAATACTGCAAGAGTTGGCTCTGAATCTTGTCATACAGCAACATAATGTTCCTCTTCTAATCCCAGGAGCAGATGTGAAATCTTATTATTTTTCTTCTATTTGAGAAAGAGATTGACTTGATAAAACGCACCATCTAAAGTTGACTTCCTTTGCTCACATAAGCTGTCACCAAACTTCCACCTCTACATCAGAGTCAGAAGCTTAATAATTGAAACATTGCTCTGACCAGTCATTCCTGTCAGTTTTAAAGGAAGATGCTGCTACAAGTGCACTGACATTTAATTTTTAAATTTTTAAAAACAGCCTTTTGCATCTGGAAGAATTATTAGCTTAACGAAAAGAGATTTATCTCCTGGAAATTTGACTTCACGTTTTATTAAAGATCCCTACGTCATAACTTCCCCTTCTATTGGCTGTGTATATTTTTGTCCATTCTTTCACTGTTACCAACTGTACATTTCATCTTTGTGGTTAAACAACGACAGCGAGCATCACAACTGGTGATTACTTATGGATTTACCCACTAATGTGAACGCTCTAAATGCAACACAGAAGCGCACATAGAATGATAATCACCTTGGTAATTATCAGCTCTGAGAATATAACGTTGTTCACTTCTCATGCAGAGTGAACACCAGTTACATATTGGCCTGCTATGGCAAACAAGAATTAGTGGTGTGGAAGGGCGGTAAGTGTTAGCGGTTGCAGGAGTGCCCTGATGGGTTGAATATCTAACTATACAATTGTCACAGTGTGGGAGATAGTTTGTGAACACATCCTTAAAGTCCCCGAGGTGCAATCTGTTGTAGCTGGAGGTTAGATGCTCACAGCCACCTTAAATGAGGAATGCAAATAATGCTAACAAGCTGACACTGTGAGACTGTGCTTTGCTAGAATAATCTATTCCCTCAGACTGTCAGCCACAGGCTCTGTCCATGGTGCTGAAATGCTTTACTATTGGAAGTCAGCAGGCAGGAAATTGTTTAGTGAGTGTTCTCTCTCCGGTGAAGAAGGACTATGCATGAAAAAGTGGCAATCAATAGCCCAGATGTTTCCCCAAAGACGGAAACAGGGAGTGTTGTTGATAGAGAATCTACTAGAAAGACGGAAACAGGGAGTGGTGTTGAGAGAGAATCTACTAGAAAGTGATTGAACTTCACTCATAGTAACCACATGGTCTGGATATTTGAGCAGCAATTAGAAGGTTTCATCTAAAAAATGGACACAGTGCCGAATAAATATTATGGGACAGATTACCTGAAAATTTCCAGATGAACTGCATTTGACATTTGTTTTATGTAATTTTTAAAAAAGATTTCATTGCAAATAGTTGTGAAGTCGCCCTTAAAATGTAAAATGTTCTTCACTCCAAGGAGTTCCCATAAGGATCCAAGCTGCAAGCAAGCCAGGGCAACTAAATCCCTCTGAGTTGGGATGTAGTCAAAGTGGAGCCAGAAATACTTTAACAAACCAGATCTGGAGATCTCAATGTAAACTTAAAAAAGAGAAAGTGATTAAGCAGATCACTGCATCAATAATGCATTTTATAAATGCTTTATTAGTCCTATAAGTGCGTTTTACTCAGCTCCACCACCCTAAATGCTGACATGACTGGCTAAAGAAAATCATCCTAGCACCACATGACATACAAATGATAAAGATTATCAGAGAAATGACAACAAATAATGACAATAATAATAGCATGTTGTCTGAATATGACTTGTCATGCATTCATTTACGTAAATGGTAATACTTATAGGTAACAACAGAGATACAAACTGTTGTTATATTTTGGATATTTTTGTGGGAAAAATACTAAGCAAATTTTGAATAAGTTAAAGCAGAAGCGAACCCAAAAGCCCAGTTTCAGGACTTTTAAAATAGTCTGATTAGGGGCTTCAGCTGCTCAACACTTCAGGTCTCCTTCCTTATATTTATCGGTCCATGATGTACATGTTTCAGTGGGTGATTAGATTAGTTGGGACTGCAAGCAGGCCAGTTTGGCACATCCGCTCTTATACTTCTGAGCCATGCATGTGTTTTTTGTTTGTTTGTATTTTTGCATGGTCTTGCTAAAATATGCAAGGTCTAACCTGGAAATGGCATTGTGTAGATGGCAGTGTATGTTGTCTCCTATATAACTTTTTTGTATGTGTGCATCAAATTTAAAGGATCATACAGTATACAGTATATTTCATAAAACAAGTATATTAATTATAGTATATTTGATATGCAATGTTTGTTCTATTTTCAATTAAGTGTGCTTTGATTAATTGTCAAAATTTGTTTATAATAAACTTTTTGGGAAGCGGGGTTGTATGCACAAAATATATCCCAAAATTGAGAATGTTGGGTATTAAAAGTTAAGCTGAATATGTTAATGATATCCATCTGATGAGCTTATAAAATAAAAAGAAAATACAAGAAAACAGTAATAAAATGTATTAGTTTGAAGGCCTTTCCTCTATACAATGTTATCACTTTGGGAAATCCAATCTGTAACCTAACCAAGTTGAGTTTTCTGCTACACTGGCATGAGCAGGCCTGGCCGCTCACCTGCAGTGTAATTAAAGCTAAACAAACTCCATCAATCAGCTGCCATTACCACAGAGGAGAAGGAAGGAAGAGGGGAGGAAACAGAGGAGACAGAAAAAATGCTGGGAGGGAGGAAAAAGAGGAAAGAAGGAACGCAGAATAAAGGATGTTAAAAGGCAGAATAGAGGGAGAAAGGACAAGGGAAGAAAGCAGTGGGGGGAAATGGGTTGGAGGCAGAAGCTGGGACAAAGAAAACGAAACAATCTGGCCAAATCAGGTTTGGAGCGGTGGGAAGTGAGCAGAGTGATTACAGCAACTAGACTGACTCACCCAGAGAGAGGGCCCTGGGGAGCTGACTAGGTCTATACACACACAAACACACACGCACACACACATTTCCAACTGTAGACTATCATGCTACTCTGAACAAGTGAGGATGTGTGCCTCTGGTCATTAAAAAAAAAGATAAAGATGTATTTTATGTCATATTTGTAGAGACGGGGTGTGGTATGGTGGAGGGTTGCTAAAAGTTTTGCAGAATATAATTCACACACAAACTTTATTTTACAATATCTGTCAAATTCAGAGAGCCCTCTAATGTTTTCAAAAGTATTTTGCATTTGTGAACAGAGGTGTTTGAGTGCTGAAGAGCTTCTGTCAAACCCTATACACTGTAGAAAAACTCACACTTAAACAGTTTTTGTTTGGTTTTGTGTGTTCACTATTTCTGGTCTCCTGTTGGTGCATCTGCTAGTGACATGTTAGCGGGGGTCCGGGCATGTCACTATGTCTTTGGCTTTGGCCTTTTTTCTTTCTCTGGAGTGTCAAATATCGTCTGTACGCTGGTGCTCTTCAGTTTACCTTCTGCCTCTCCTCAGCATCCTGCTGATAGATGCTATCGGCGCTGCTATTACCCCTCTTGTAAAAAAAAACAACAATCCTCTCTCCTTGTTTCAGGCTGTCAGGTGTTACTTCCCCCCAGTTTTTTTTTTCTTTTTTTCTGATCAACAGATGACAATGACTCTTTCCAACAACAGAGCGTGGTAAGGAAGTTTCTCTAATAGGAGCAGTGAGTTTAAGAAGTAAGACCTTCCATCCACTTTCAAAATCTAACTATAACCTTTGACACCCTCTCACTTCTAAGACAAAGAGCTAACGAGTCAGAGCTTTTTGTCAAAAACAAGGGTTTTATAAGGACCAAGGATCTTTCAGGGTCACTAACTGCAAGACTACAAGTAAATAAAAGGGGGGAGAAGGGAAAAAAGGTACAGAAATCAGTGCACCCCTCAAAGTCCCCAATGTGTATGCCATAGCTTGCAAGCTAATCATTGAACTACTGCCTCGAATGGTTAGTGTTAGTGTTTGCTATTAGCCTGGTATGTAAGAGTACAACAAAAGTGCGGCAAAATCAACACAATCTGCCCTCCATGGGACAACAAAAGAAAAGCAGATTTTGAATTCACTATTTGATTGTTTTCAGACATTTGCAGACTGCAAACAAAGTTCTGGGTGGTCTTGTTTTGCTGTTTGTTGGTCAGCTGACACTCCTAATACTTTGGTACACGTGCAGAAATACAGAAAACCTGAGATTTTCACAATGTTTCCCCTTAGAAAAGATTTATAATCTATTTTTCTAGCTTTCACAACAAATGCACACTTGGCAAGGCATACTCCTATGCAGTGGAAAAACAGATTTTGTCTAAAAGAAGTCACTGAAATGAAGACAACATGAAAACTCTCCACAGTGCCTTTAACTGGTTTAGAAAATTATCAGTGTAACGAAAAGACATGACACCGACCATTGTTTTTATTTTATTCTATTATTATTTTTATGCATTGGCTGTGGAGTAAAGTTTCTCAGATAGGAAAATACTGTACTCTGAAAACCTAGGTACTTTTTGCCCTGACAGGACCCCGCGGTCTGTGCTCTGTGGCCTTTTGCTGCTCCCATTCAGCAGGTAAACAAGATGACTTCTCTCAGACTGGTGCTGGTGGTGTCACAGGGGTGGGTGTGAAGATGGATGCTATGTTTGGACCGAGAACAAGCCTGGCTCGTCAGGACATGAGGACAGTGACGCTAGCATCCAGCGCCATGTGACAGTTAGCCGTGACAGTTTGCTGTAATGACCTGAGCTCCCGCTCTCAGCAGGATGAAGCATTTGGGGGGCGGGAGTAAGCAATCAAGCGAGCAGGGAGGGGAGGTGAAGGGTGGTGGCTGTGGGTGAGGCATACAACGGGGACAGATGCCAGCTGAAACTGTGGGAGGGGAACGAGTTTCTTTGCAGCCCTTAGGCAGCTAACACTCCAACTACATTACTGTCATAAAGAAGTCCATTCTGGCCAAACATTGGCCCGTCACCCACTTTGACTCCCTGCTGTCTGTTCAGTCAGCTAGTGACAGCAGTTAAACAGCCTCTTCTCTCAGGCACTTTTTTTGGACTTCAATGTGGCAACTTTTAACTCAAACTTCCAAAACAGCCACACGCTGACCTGATATGAATTTTGGCATGTTTTTACAATTCTTGACCACCTCTAAAATATGGTGGTGACACATTTTTAATGATTGAGAAAAAAAAAGACAGAAGGACGGGGAGCATTTCCATAAAACAATACATTAAGATGATGGGATGGTGTTTCAAGCACTCAGTATTGGGTTTGTCGTGCAGCAGTGGCTGACTCAGAGTGACAGAGAAACAGAGTGAGAGGAGGGGACAGGAATGGTTGAACAACAAAAGGAGCACAGACCCAGCGAGCAGGAGAGGAAAGTGCAAGAAAATGGGAGAGAGGAATCAATGGCAGAGTGCCTGATAGATGCTGTCTATAAGGTCATTATCGGCCATTGTGTGTCTTTGGCATGGGATCGCAGAAAATGTGACAGATAATTAGGAGGTGGTGATTTAAAGGTAGAAAAGCAAGCCTTGGCTACAGGCAGCATAGTCGATGGACAGAACAAATAAGTCAATAGAAAAAACAAAGCCAGCGTGCTCTGTGTACATATGCAGCACTAACTCAACAGCACAGCATGGCCATGTCAAATCACGGTGGGCTACACAGCCTTGTGAGTCACCTTTGAATATGCATGCACTACTTACCAGCTACAAGCTACCAGGATTGCACATAATAAACCTTTCCACTGGTGTGTGTAAATGTTTTTGCATTCATAAAAGCTTATGAGCTGTTTTATAAATTCACAAAGGTAACTGTAATATTTTCTCACTTTTCTAATGGGGATAAAATAGATCAGTGCCTTGTGCTTGATATTTAAAACTATTCACCTGGTATGTTTATTGGGCTTCCACTACAGCCTTGGAACAGAGGTTCTCCAATATTCAGAATAGACCGGCATACACAGTGGAATAAATTTGTAAACCAAAACAGAGTGCAAATATTGTTGAGGCAGAGATGGTTGACTGCCTGTCATTTGAGATCAACCTCTTCCATATCTGGCTCAGTGCAGGTTTGGGATGTTTGTCTGTCTATCTGTTTATCTGTCTGTGTGACTGGGTGTCTGTTTGCTTTCATGTCTGTCTGTCTCTCTGTCTGGGTTCCTCTATCCAGACAGACCTGGCACATTGCCTGCCCTCTGCCACATGATTAGCCTGGAAGTGGCTGGGGTGAAATTGATTTGAAGTGGCCTCAAAGCATATAAAAGATTGATGCTTCGCATCAACTGCAGCCACTTGAATAGTCCCTTCCCTCTTCTCAAATGTCCCTCTTGTCCCTGTGCAGCTCCAAACCTCTGGGTTTTAACCAAGAAAAACAAACCTGAAATAGAGGTTTATATTTATATTCAGCTTAACTTTCGCAGACAAGGTTAGATCCGGTATAAAACTAAAGATACGTTTCAAAGCCAAACAGTATAAATTCCTTGTAGCTTTGGAAGTTGTAAAATCTTGGAACAAATAAAAGTTCATTTGGAGTTATACTGAGAAACAAAGCCTAAGAGACATGGGAGTGCCAAAAGCTGGAGTTCCTTGAGTGGACACTTGAGGCTAGCTTAGAACAGGATCTCCACTAACAGTCCAACACTGCACTTTCACTGGAGATTAACAAGCTAATAGTAATTTATTATGCTTAACAGGCTCTCTTAGATCATTTTGGTGCTATAAATAACACCAGCAACAGGTAACCACAAAAAATAAAAGGTCATTTTGTGGAAAACATGAGGATAAACTGGCTCAGGAACTTATGCTGCGTTCCAGTTACCTCAGAAGGCGAATGTCTGAGCTGGGAATGACATCACACCTGAGTTGACGGCGTTCCAGTTAAGAAGTCGGAAAACCAAGATGGACACCTACTGTTACCTGTTGTTAACAATTGTCAGCTGTCATTAGCCGTTGTCAGTTGTTGTTAGTTGTTAGCGATAACAGCTGTAAGCAGCGCATGACACAGTATTTTACTCTTTCAAACGCCATAACACCGTGTCTACAGTTAGACGTTGGGCAGTACAACATAAACCACTTATTTAATTTCACAAAAACAAAACAGAAATGCCAATAAATCATACATTAAGAGAGCTTAAACTGTTACTCTTTACTGTTGATGGACTGCGCTGCCATTTTGGATTATGACGTTCTCGTCAAGTCAGGGTTGGTGAGGATCATTCAACTTTCCGAGTCAGAAATCCGACTTCAGGGGGGCGTTCCAGATGAATTTCCAATTTGGAGCTCGGAAATTCTGACTTCTTGGTACAACTGGAATGGAGTTTAACTAATAAGTTGTCTACAGATATTGACTGTTAGGTTCATATAACTTGGAATCTGCCAACCAGTCCCCTTCATTTGGTGCTATCTTTAACACCCCCGTTAATCTGAATATGGTATCTCGTGGCTCAAGAAACAAACATAAGGGCAGCCAAATGCTGAACCCAAAGCTTCATCTATGAAGTTAGGGAAGTAATAGTTGATATGGAATTGTCTATTTGTACTATAGTCCGTGTTCGTATGTCAAAGTTTCTGCAGCAAAACCTCTTAGTGATAAAAAAAATGTCAGGATCAAATTGTTTTTAATTGTGCTTTTCTTTACATAATTACCTGGACTTCAGCACTGGGGCTCTTTAATTCCCCACTCTGTGTTGATAATATATCATTGATGACATAGTGGCACAAGAGTACTCGCAGTAGTAGGGATGTATGCAATATGCCCCTTACAGACTGTTTTCTACACCAAGGTAAATTGACTGAGCCCTGTATGTAGCTCACTCACTGATAATTTTGACACATGAT